TGGAAGATGTTGTATAAAAACACGGCAGCAATGGGCAAAAGTTTGTTATCTGTATATAAATGACGCAATCTAGGTTGTCATTGGAACGCTGGCGCTCCCCTTGGAAGTCAACGGAGTCAAGGAATCATTAGTTGGCGTGCACGTCACTTACCATATAGCATAGCAGCCGCACAACGCTGTCGACAGAAACCGACGCGCGTTCTTACTGTGTCCCTAGCTTGTTAATTTGATATTGAGTTTGATTGTAACAGTGAATAATCTTTGATGTACTTTGTTTGCAATTAGAAACTGACTGAGACCTCCGAATTTGTTTCGGCATTTCTTCTCAGAGTAGTTATTAGGCAATACCGGCCCCACCAGTAGCTTAATTGAAGTAAAAGTGCAATGTACAGAAATAAACAATGATTTCATGCCGGAGACTATATTATTTTACTGCTACCTACGCTAAGCTAAGCTTCCTAGCTTAGAACATAAATAAGAAGTTTTGCTAAATAATTCTGGGTTCGACAGGAGAGACATGAAAGTAGGTATAATAAAATACGGTAGATTAATGCGTTCAAATAAACGAAGAGTTTTGAATATTTTGTAACTAAATAAAGTCAATACGCGCAAATATTGTAGGTTTTATATTTGATAGATAAAAGCAAGGCTTAGGCTGTTTTTTTAAGGGGGAATATCATCGAATGACTGCTCTCCCGCCTGGGTGAGGCGGGAGGGAGTGTCAGACTCTTACCGACTAAAAACCACCCCGTTCCTTCTCCTGCACGTCGAGCCGGAGCCCCGGTTACCTGTTAGGTTCTCCGCGACTCCGAATCGGCATCGGCCCTATTGGGCCCCATCTGTGGTGGTTTGATGGCTGTTTGAGGCGCGCGCGGAACGCGACGCGCCGTACGCTCGGGTCTGTTTCTGGTCGGACGGGGAGCCACCCATGCTCGCCGTCCGCAGGCCTGCGCTTACGGTGGCCGGAGATCGTCCCGCGAAGGCTGTAGGCTAGGCTGTAGGTAAGGTGCGTCGACGCTGTTTGTTTTTCGAGAATACTAAAATGTATGAAAAACTGTCTATTTGCTTGCCGTTGGATAGTTTCAACTCACGGCCGTCACAGCCTTGAGCGCTAGTGTAGCTAGGGTTTCCAACCATACTCTAAAATAGAGTATTGTCCTCTGTATCATGTAGGCGTACTGTATCTAATCTGTAACACTAATAGCCCATTGGCTGACATGACTACCGGCACAATGATAGCCGAATCCACATTCCACTTGTCGACAACCTCGTGAGCTAAGTCTAGATATTTTATTTGTTTATGTTTCTCAGCTTTCACGAGGTTCTCGTCATGGGGAAAGGTGACATCGATTATCATCGTGCAACGTACTTGTCGTTCTATCACCACTATGTCGGGTTTATTGGCTACAATAGTCCTGTCAGTAATGATATTATTTTATTTATTATTATTAGATATGTATAATAGTATAATAAATAGATTGATGTTTTATATTTTAAAAGAAAAATTGTTATCTGCTGCAAAAAGTACGAAAAAATACCTTCTTAAAAGAACAAAATAAATGATACTCTTTTTTGTAAGTCCGTACTCTTTATTTACCTACCTACTTTGAAATCAGATATACACTATTTCTTCTAAAAAAACTTGGCAATCCTAAGTGTAGCGTATGCATGGACGTATTAAGCGTATGTCAGCTTAGTGAATACCAAACGATAATTTTGTCGCTGTAACAACGCTGCAGGCAACGCTGTATCTATAGAGAATAGCACTACTGATTCTTAAACAGTTTTATTTAGCGTACCCCGTTTGTTGTATCTTTCATTCTCTCTTGGGTGTGGACTTTTTTTACTATTTTTTGTTTTTTTTTTTCGTTATAAGGCCACTGAATCAGAACAGAGTGAACCATTAACTGACCACTGCTGAAGAAAAAGAAACATTTCGCTTGATTGGCTAGTGTGTTCAATTTATATTATGTATACGGTTTATGGCCTATGACAGATTTTCATGATCAATTTCCTCTCAGTCAAAAACCCGTAAAATACTTTACTGAGCCCTATCATGAAATGTTATGTTTGTCAGCTGCGGCGTCGGTAGCGGATTGAATAGCGCTGATCACTTTTAAAGTCGACGGTTTTCTTTCTTCAAAAGATTATGCTAACTATTAAGTAGATGAGTGTCCCACTTGGAGTTAATGGCAAAAAAAATATACTTTACTAGATGTTTGGACGGCTACCACTACTCAACCCACCACTGGTACCACAGCTGACGCTCATGAAGCTTCATGACACAACTCCTAGAAGCATCCCACAAGTTATCGACTGAGAGAAAATAGGTAATAAAAATTAGTGCCTGGCAATGTCCCCGGAGTACAGTGGCGCGCAATTTCAAGTTAGAAATTGTGACAAAACTATGAATAATTTGAATAAAAAACCGAAGTAAAATGTTTGAATCCAGCTCCTTTCAACGCTCATAACTCAGTCCAGACTGAGATTTCCATATATAAACCCATAGACAATTTAGTTTGTAATATCATTCTAGATAATATTTTCCATAAATCATCGACTACCGCCAGAAAAAAGAAAGGCACCAATTTTAATCAATGCCCTTTGTGTACACATTGGATTGGTGACAGTACAATCATGTTTATTAAATATCATTGTAAATTCAAGATGTCCACCGCTACAAAATGCCAGTTATATGGGTATCAAATAAAAGGGCTTAATTATAGTACAATGTACTATACAAAATTGAAATCTAAGGCCAATGCAAAATGGCTGATAACCTATTTTCTAAATTCCTAATCCCAAAAGACCAGTAACGCACTTGTAACGCCTCTGGTGTTTCAGGTGTCCATGGGCGACACTGATTGCTTACCTCATAAAAAACCGTTAAACTTAAAAAGTATGCCACTATTTTTTATTTGAACAAAATCACATCGTATAATGACGATATATGTGTAATTTTGGAAAATCGTGTAAGTTTAGGGGGATTGCTTTCTAAATCTCGTAAATGTAATTCGTCATCGGTATTGTTCATATCTTTCATTAGTAACATATCCAGCATAAGTTGGCTGTCCAATCTGTGGAAGTATCATACAAAATGAGAGCATGATAAACTAGTGACAAGATGGCGGCCGGGGGACAAGAATGGCGACCCCGCAAACTTGAGGTTAAGGTTCTATTGACCCCCACACATGCACCGAAATTAAAATTGCGTCCTCTAAAACATGCAAAACCCATGTAACATTTCAATGAACTGAAAGGAGTGCTCTGAGGTAAATGTTACTAGCTGTAACGAATACTTTCGATGCATATAGAGGTAATAAAAATAATAAAGATATCACTTTTTTCTTATAAAACATTAATTCATCGACTTACAATATTGTAAATGCGAAAGTTTATAATGTCTATTTGTATATATGCACGCAGACGAAGTGGCGGGCAAAAGCTAGTTAATATGTGTATATAAAATAGCTATAGTTTTCAAAGAGCATTTTGGTTAGATTTATTAGTCGACTCGAGTGCCTTCAAGATGTACTAGTCCTACATACATTACAATCAAGTCCAAATTTTGGTTTCAAGCAGAATTTGTGTCGTTTAGACTTTGGAAGGGTATTTTTATCTGTTAATAAATTATCCCAAATATTTAAATTTATTTGAAGAAAACTTACATAATATCATGCGAAGGGGTAGGCAGAGGTGCATATTACGGCACTTAATGCCACTGTACAATGTAACACCCATTTTTTAATATTTATTTTACGAGTCCCATGTAATAGGGGTCAATCCATGAGCATATATCGGGCACAATGACCGCACGGTTGGTGCGGTGGCTGGGCAACTGGCTGCCGTGCAACGTGTCGCGGGTTCGATTTGTGTGATCAACACTTTGTGTGATCCACAAATTGTTGTTTCGGGTCTGAGTGTCATTGTGTATGTGAACTTGTATGTTTGTAAACGCACCCACGACACAGGAGAAAATCCAAGTGTGGGGCAACGTTTAAAAAAAAAAAAAAAACAAAACAATTCCACACACCGTGCTACTACTGACAATTTTTTAAAAACCTAGTAATACTTTGCCCGACCCGGGAATCGAACCCGAGATCCCTTGCCCGGCAGTCACACTTCCAACCACTTTTCCACCAACGGCCGTTGGCCGAGTGGTTAGAAGTGGCAGGGCCGAGGCAGGCACTTGGCCAACGAAGAATGTGTGTGTTAAATACTATATAGGTCTGAGAATATCAAGCATAAGTATATGTACACACGGCCATACATCAATCTATACAAAACCAGTTTATCCTGGTATCGCGTCGCATCATCTTTCCGCACATTTAACGTTCAGTTTATACTGGTTATTTAAGCTCAATGTGTAGCCGTGTGTACCTCTTTCTGCTATAAAACTACTGAGTTGAATTCATATGGAAATCACGTAGGTACATTTAAATTTAAAATAGTTGCCATTAGATATTTTGTTGATATCGTTAAACCTTTTGATTTTAAGATACATTTTTAAAGATCATATTAAGGTGATAAGTTTATAAAAGTTTCAATCCAGATAAGTGTGGGAGAGCCATGCTTCGGCATGAATGGGCCGGTTCGACCGGAGCGATACCACGCCTCACAGAAAACCGGCGTGACACAATGCTTGCGTTGTGTTTCGTCGTATAAGTGAGGTTACCGGAGGTTCAATTACCCCCCCCCCCATTTCTTGCCCAAACTCCTCAATAACTGAATCTCCAACAATCCTCAAATTCCAAATTCCTAAAAGGCCGCACGTAACGCACTTGTAACGCCTCTGGTGTTCCGGGTGTCTATGGGCGACGCCGATTGCTTACCATCAGGTGACCCGTACCTATACCTACTTGCTTATCGGCTTATCCCATAGAAAAAATAAAACAATGAGTTATCATTTACTATTTATTACTACAATAATTACATCTTTATATTGCAGATATAATACGTACAACCTACTTCAATTTATGAAAATTCAGTAGATTTTTGATGATATAGTTGAAAATCTGACAGAAGAATGTTTACTGACCACCAAACCAGTTAGGTAAGTTATTAAACCAGGCACTGGCACCTTGCATCCAGTTTGGAGAGTTATTAGCTGGGAATATCTGGCCAAAGTTATCAAATATTGCGCTCACATCTAGAGGAGATTTTGTGGTGGAAGAACTGCTGGGTGGTATGGTCTCGCTGGTTGCGGGCTCCGAAGGTACTGTAGACGCGTCAGCATCATCCCGCTTAATTCTTGCTGAATGGATGAAACCAATTAAACAGACGAAGAGGAGAGCGCTCAATATGTTTACCTGTAACAGTTTTGATAACAATTACCATCAGCAGAGTAACGTTTACTTAGTACCTCAGTTACTTTACTAGTTTACTGAGTACGTTTATCTCAGTCCAGTTGACAGTTTTTTAAACGCTTTATAATATAACAGTTTATAATATAATCTACATATTATTATAATAAAATTGTAGGAAAGTGAATACTGTCCATTGAATATTTTTTTAAAAGAATACTTGAGGCGTTATCTACAATCGATACCGAATCCAAAATATGGTTTTTAGAATTATTGTCTGTTTGTCTGTATGTATATCCGGGATAAACTCATAAAGGATCGTGTCGTTATATAGGCTACATATTATCACGCTATCACCTATGGGGGGAGGGGGGCTGTGAATAACTATTTCACGGGGACGAAGTCGCGGGCTCAGCTAGAGATTCGATATGGCTTATGAGCTATCATCTTTTATAATTGACACAAAAATGACTAAATGCACTGCTGGATGATATCCTGCAGCTAAAAGTCACGGAATGAGAACTGAAAACGGAACGCAAATATCTCTTAAACTGTCAAACACCAAGCGGTCACCGGTGACCGCAACCTATTGTTCTATAATTGTGTCTAGAGGTATAATGACGGTACTCGACGAGTTAAGATTTAACAGTCGATGAGTTCTTTTTTCTCAGCTTTTCAGAAACCGGGTGCATATGAACTAGAAGTGCCCAAATTTGTTTCCGTTAATTACTAGTGTGAGGTTATATACTAAAAGAGTAGTTCTTACCTTAAAAGTCATTGTGGAGATCCTGTAAGGAAGGTTCTTCGTGAGCGAATTTATATAGCATTCATATCTATTTTCTTGAACATAACAATAATTCTTGAACGCAGTTAGCGATCTAATTGACATGTTGATAAGAAACTTACTTCAGTTTTCATGTCATACCAGTTAATTTGATGTCAGTGACTCTTTTCGGTGACTAATTTCCTGTTACCTACATGGCGAAACGCAAATTTGTATCTACCATACTTCTATAACCATAGAACATCTTCTTTATATGTTCTGTGACTATAACAGTACTTTGAAAAATATCTTCGTAGTTTTCATTTCCAGTTCGACTCCGTATCATATCGAGCACCTTAAGGGTGCCAAGGATACACTAGGGGCAAATATCCCACGACCTGTATCGGCGACATGTCGAGCAAAGCCGGCCGATGTCACCTGACATATCATACATACGTCGCGCAACTTCACCCGACGTCGCTGGCGACACGTGGCGCAGGACATTTGTCCCTAAGTGTATCCTTGACTTAAATGACTACTACTGCACTCAGTGCTATACCTAACCATGCACAAAGACCATGCCATGGATTCCAAAAATGTATTTAAAATGACAATTCAAATTGATTACAATACAATTGATTTTTAATGTTGTTTATTTAGTAGTGTAGAAGGGAATGGATAAACACAGATAATAATAGGTAGTAATTTGACGATAATTGAAATATCTAAGTCAACGTAGATGAGTCAGGTACTCAATGGAAATTGTTGTAGTAAGGATCATATTGTCGAAGGTGAAATTATTGTTATCTTTTTTTTCTCAGAATTCTCTTTTACGATGAAACCATTCGCGAGTGCGGTTATCCATATAGATTATTTCATTTTAAACTTTAAATTATAAGCAGATGGAAGTGACGTGACAGTGCGGTGTGAGATCTCATGATTGCTGTTGACTGTTGATAACAGATGGTACATCGTCGTTGAAATTGGAGTACGACAATCCCAAACGTAACATACCTACATGGACTAACCAAACAACAAATTAAATAACATTCGGAGGATTATTAACATCATTGAGTGTCGAAGCATCATTTAAGAAAATGATGAAATGGAGAAGTGTGATCTTGCTGATATTGGTAATTTTATTTTTGTGTCAAATGTTGCATTCAACATTGATTGATTAATTAACCATTTATATTGAATTAAAAATTAAACTTTCATTTCCACAGGTTATATTCACAATATTGTGTCTAGCACAAGAAATTCCTCGTGAAGTTACGAAACCATTTCAAAGGTCTCCATGGCAAAAGTTCAAGGACGGCATATCAAATATAGGAAGTAGTATAAAACATTTCTTTATCGACATTGGAGATGGAATTGGGAATTTCTTTAAAAAGTGTTGGCGAAAAATAACAGGTTAACACGACTGCAATATAGAAATGAGATCACGGAAGTAAGCTGCAGAAAAGAAAGAAGAGGACACATGGAGTTTCATGATTATGTCTATTTCGTATATCATAGAGTAGCTCTAGTATGAGTGCGACCAACGACCACGGAACTGCTCACGAGATTGCACTTCAAGTACAAGTTTATTGCAGTTGATTGAATGACACTAGAACTAATCTAGTAGATTGATTGATTAACAGGAAAAAGTAAGATTATAAAATGCTAAGTCCAATACTTTTGCAAGTGAAAAGTGGTAGTGCTAAGAAATTATTCTGTGAATTATCAAAGACTTTAATATTGTGTTACTTGTTTATATATTAATTTTATAGGATATTATTAATTTATCACATAAGGTGGTTTAAGTAAACTTCTTTAACTTTGAGAAGCTGAGGTTGTTTTGGAAATTAATCACAACAGAATAATTGGGGTTTAGTATAAACATTGGTCCTACGTGATGTTCATCAGATGTGTTTAGGTAGGTAACTCTATTGTTCGGTTCATCCAGTACGATATGATTCATAATAACATGAACGTCAGTGCAATTTATTTACTTCCCACTATTCGGATGAGCGGTAAATAAAAAAATCACTCGTGAGTACTTTGAGAAGAATGATACATTTATTTGACTGTAGTATTGTGATTCAGTGGGATCGGCGTGTCACCTCCGGCTTACGCCTATTACTCAATTTAGGTTGCGGCCAGGGTGGCCAAAACTTCTAAAATTGGTATAAATTCTTAATATTTTTATTTTGTTTTCGGTTTTTCTTGATTTCTCTATTGCAGAGAATCTTATATTTATTGTGGTTGGCAACAAAGTGTTACTGCCATGATGATTTTTATAATCTTGAATGTTGGTGTTACAGCCCTCTATGAAAACAATTGTATAAACTCTTATCTATGAGAGACAAATAGTTGTGAGATATTATATCTACATTTCCGAAAGATTAACTTTTTAAAAGTAGATTTAACCCTATTTCAAAGTCAGTTAATAAAATTATGCATTTTTGTAACGTCAAAACAGATTTCTTCGTCAGTGTACCCCTCAGGCAATGTACATTATGCTGTAGTAGTGGTAAGTTTTACCGACTACCAGACGGAAGGCAGTTGTTCCATATTAAATAGTCAATTAATATAAAGCAGTAGCTTTAAGAATTTGTAACTGTTAGTAAAACCATTAACGGTTGAATTTTCGATATCAATTCGGTACACTATTGATTAGGATAGTAAATTCATTACTAATTTGCAATTCGCTATGGTTGTTCAACCGGTAATTCAATCACTGCGATAAGGATGGTGTTTCGATTTCGATTCAATTGTTTAAATAAAAATAAAGGCATAAAAAATACTTTCAACTTATTACATGGTCATAAGTGGAAAGAATTTTAAACAAAACAACTACTTGTTTAGCTTTTCCACGAGAAATGACCATTCATAAATACATATTATAAAATGACCTGAACTGTAAATGTTATACATTTGATTATATAAGTTTGACGATCTCTGGCATAGCCCTTGTCCGTCACATTCTATTGTCCCCAGTAAATTTGTCTGCTCGCCTGATTACACTGACACACGTGCGTGCAAAAGTGAATTCAGACCTTCCTGTTGATCCTTTGTGAGCAGTAGGAGTTAGTTCGTTGAGCGCTCAGCACAACCATTGTTGTATTTGTAGTAATAGACGACCCGATACTATTACCAAACATTTATTGATAGCTAATTTGGACAAAACGGAACTTGTATTGAAGTAACGTTGTAAAGTTTACTATGGATTTACGACTGACTATTCTCCTATGTTTTGTAAGTACTTTTGCCTATTTTATTTATTTTGGTTATATCGACGAACTGTTGAACACGATTACTTTTCTATCGTTGCAGTTTGTAATCGTAGTCGCGTCGGCTCTTCCCTCGGATCGTAGGGAAGTGTTTCGTTCGAGGCGGGATGTGATGGACACCATGAGGAACGCGTGGAGCGAGGTCGTGAAGACACTGTCGGACGCTGGTGACGCGGTCGTGCATGTATTCAAGCCGACGGAGAAGAGCGTCATTGACAAAATAACAGACGGGTATAAGACTTTCACAAAATAACCAGATCTTTGCAATACCTACTAGTGCTTATGTAAGAACAAGTATTGATACGCTATTGGAATGGCGACACAAGTCAGTTCATAATAATATAGGTAGTTATTAATGTAATTCTATTGTTTGATTATTTGGAATTAAGTTGGATACAAAATATGTGTACTGATATAATATCCTCTGGTGCAATGCTATTTACATGATACAGATTGCAGGTCAAGTGATTAAACAATTATTTACCCCAAGACATAATATACGTTTGAAACCATTCATACTCATTTCTCAGTTCATTATGAATTTTATAATCGTAGGTTTATTGAAACATTTATAATTTAAGTGATAAATAAAAGTATCATTTTATTTTAATGTTTTATTGCAACATATCTCATAAAAAGTTTTTACAAAAATATAATATTGTGCTTATTGATTACCTATACATAACAGTTGTATTGTGCATCATAAGGAGATGACACAAAGTGGTGCAATGTGGTGTTATACATCTGTGTCGCGTAGTTTGGGTGAATCAACCTCGTAAATGCCATCTCTGTAGTGTACATCAGCAGTGTCGCCGAGTATGTCAATTAGCTTATCAGTGCTATGATGCGAGATGTGCGGAGGACTCTCCGGGTAATCAGGTCGCTTATCGTAATCTTCGATCTTTTGCTTATGTCGTGACGGCAATACGAACACACCTACAGCCATCTCTTTCTTAGTGGGTACTTCATCCTCGTTCTGCTCTAAGTCCATTATATAGTTCTTCCGCTGAAGATCCGAAATGTTATGATGGAAGAACTCTGATTTGTGTCGCTCCCGTATGAACATGCAGTACGCTATCCACATGATAACGAAGGCTGCCTGCAACGACGGAAAAACGATATTACATATCAGCATTTAAAAACAATTCTTCGTAAAATGACGCAGTAAGGCCGCCATGTTGAATTTTTAATATTATCAACCGGTATCGATATTAGCAAGACGTCGATTGCTACGGCCGCAATTATAAATTATTATTGGCTAACTAATTTTATGTGATTATTAATGTGAGGTAAACTGTTCATAATTATAAGAGGAATTTCGATGGTGAATGAAAAAAAAAGTTGCAACTTACCAAAACCAGAGCGACGACAAAACCGATAATATAGAGGGTCATTTTAAAAAAATACACGTTTTAATCTGCGTCGTTGGTAGTGAGACGAGTGATGCAAACGAGGTTAGATTGGAACAGTCGCGGCGAGCGGTCCCGGCGTCGCACTCAATTAATGTCAGTTGGAAGTTGGCTCTTTTAGACTCTGATGTCACTGGGATTTATTGAAACTTCACGATCAAAACAGTTATTCACAACAGACACGACTTGATTATAGAAAGGATGAAGGAAAACAGGGCTTCACATAAAAGTAAAACGTAATGGAAGTGAGTCGATTCGGAATTACCTGACTGTTGAGCGCTATTTTCCTGTGATGATGACGTTTTAAGGCCTGACTCGTGAGTGTCGTTCAATGTGTAGGATATTAGGTACATACAATCTTAAATAAAAACATACACATGGTGGAGGTTTTTATTTAAGTATTACTGCGTTTTTAAAAAAAATCTCAGTAGCAACACGGAGTCTGGCATTGTGCCCGGTATATGCGAATAGGCTCACCCCCCATTACATGGGACACATAACATAAATAGTAAAAAGTGGGTGGTACATTGTACAGTGGCATAATGTGCACCTCTGCCTACCCCTTTGGGGATAAAAGGCGTGATGTTATGTATGTACATGGTGGAGGTCACGTAATGTAGGTACGTCAGAATGGTAGTGGCAACCAGTAATTCAATTAGTAACGTCACAAGTGGTATGATATTGATTTGACCTAGTGGGGCAACTATTATTAACATAATATACTTTTAGTATTTTTAACATTTTGACTATTATATCTTAATTGCTTATTTGTTAATTGCTTCTTTAGTCTAGAAGTTTCAGTGGTAAGTAATTGTGCAGGCAGGTTGAGAAAAAGGTATTGAGTTTTTGCATATTTCAGTACCTACAAGTTTATGTTCTGATCTTTATTTTATTCGTTATAAAATAAACTTTAGTCTACTCTCGGTTCCTTGGCCCTCGCTAATTCATGTGTCCACTGGATACCGAATTATAGTGTATTCTCGTTCCTTTGGAACCGAGAGTGGGTTTTTTTTTAGCCAAGTTTTAGTTTTCTCTCGATCCCCAAAGTACAATTATTATTCGTATCTATATTTTTGTCTATAGTATCTACTATAATATTATTTAGGTATATAAAATACTTTCCATAATTGTAATTTTAATATTATTTAACTACGTAAATTATTTGCGGTTTAATAGTTATTAAATGATTGATGATTGATGCGTATACGATTTCTATTTGCATTTATTTTTCATGGAGTACAAATGATAGTAGCGCGCATTTAAAATGTATAACTTCTCAGTAATGAGGAGGACTACTTCTGGATTGTTATCAAAAAAACTGATGAGACCTGTTAAAGGGAACTATTCCTCAACAATTAATTCTAATTTTAATCCTGAATAACTTATTGTCTCTCACATTGTGCTCACATTTATGGATATATTGGTTCGTGCGGTGGCTGGGCAACCGGCTGCCGTGCAGAGTGTCGCGGGTTCGATTCCCGAACGGAACAACACTTTGTGTGATCCACAAATTGTTGTTTCGGGATTGGGTGTCATGTGTATGTGAACTTGTATGTTTGTAAACGCACCCATGACATAGGAGAAAATCCTATTGTAGGGGGTTACAAGGTTGTGTAAAAAGAACAAAAATAAAAAATTACGACTATCTCAAATAATGATTCCGTAAAATAAATTGTCAGGGAAAATCCCTGAATTTTGTATTTAATTTGTACTTGAAAGTACCAAAGGTGTTACTGTTCCGAATTAAGACCTGAAAGTGATATGCCTGCCCCTTGTTTAAACATTTACTCTTAGCCCGTAGAGGTAGACAATGAACTATGTTTTTGAATTGAGAGTAAACCAATCAAAAAATCTTTTTTTAGAGGCCGAGGCACCGAGAATGGAGACGTAAATGATGGGTAATAAATATTTGTGTTTTATGTTTTCATAATATTTGTAGATGTACAAACAAGGTAACGGAGTCAGCAATGGATGGTGGATCAATTACCATGGTACCCATTTTTAGAAAATTGCTACGCAAGTCTGAATTCGCGTTAGTACCTACAAAAATGTTTCCACTTGAACTTAATTACTTAGTAATAGAAGGGATGATATCAATATTTCCAATGACGTGTTTCAGAAATCCAGTATGTGAAATACAAAATCAGAGAAGACTTTTTCATCGTCAACGTGTCGCCGTTCTAGTGCTGGGTTAATCACCACACTGAATGAAGACGTTTCCCCACGACATTTTCCTGCCTAAATAAACTTAGAAAGTACCTATACATCACTTCAAAAAGTCTCATTAATTCTTGCCAGATTTCAATCCTACCTAAGCTTAAGAAACGGGCGCCTTAATCACCGGAACGCCAGAAAGTTGTTATTCAGTCGTTGACTGATAATATCTAAGTGGGTTTACTAAAAAACGAGGTACATACATCAAGTATCATGAAAAAGATTATATTAAAGTGTCAATACAATGATATGATCAGGACTATAAGTAAATAGTTAAATTAGTATGGAATAGAGACACAAGTAATTCCCGAGATATGAAGCTCTATAGTATCTAAGAGCGGAGTGCATTCATTTACCTTTGCAGTGACGCCGCGGCAACGCGACGCCTGCGCGACGCATACGTTTATCGAACGCCTAAGCTGGATAAACGCTAGGGTGAAGGGGCTCGAATATAGCATGGTTACACACTATTAATAACCCTAAATATACTAACAATCAGGCATGAATATATAGGTACCCAAACATCAGATACAACTCCAAGACAAGAGATTTCCAAAAATTTCAGTACCTACTGATGTGTGTAACATCAGTACTGAAAATTTTGGAAATCGATGATCTCAATAATCAGTGCATTGGTCGGCTCAGAGATCAAGGGACAATGTATGTTTTAGTTTGTTCACTCACAAAATAGGTATAGCAACATTCTTCATTGTTATTACTACAAAGTGAATTTGTATGACTTTCCTCGAGGTACGACTAATCATCATATGGTAACAGCGACAGACTTGTAGTAAATTAGGTAATTTTATTAACTTAGGACCTCGTTGTTTATTATATGGACCTTGTAGAAACTAGAACAACTTTCCGTGCACTTTGACTTTTGCCAATTGTTAGGTATCTATTATTGTAAATAGGTGTAGAAGCTCAGCCCGATGAATGAACTTATGGGCCACTGGACTTCTTCTAGTAAGTGATGTAGTCCTTTCGTACTACACATTAAACTGTCAAACACTATTGTTCTATAATTGTGTCTATAAAACCGGTACTCGACGAGTTAAAGTCAAATGGTTATCTGCTTCAAAAATCGCCAAGGGAATTGGAAACTATATGTTTTCTTGTCCGTTATATTCTTGTTTATTTCGTTACTTAGACTTAGATCATTGTTGTCTTAAGTCATAAAACATCTGTACTACTGCTGGAACTGCGGATAAATAAGCACGTGGGTAAAGCTCCTTTGAGGTCGATTTGAGGACATTTACTAGTTGATCACAATTAATCTTTTCTTCTATCAAAACGAAGTATGTTATACATCGATTGTACTATCAAGACCAATTCATTTAGCAACGGGAGAACAATGATAAAATTCACGGAATATATTCGGATTACACAATATAATATGTCCTAAACAATCATTACAACAACACGCCAATTCTAACATTTCTCATATATTAGTCAGAAAAGAAAATATTATTGTTTGTATACATCCGTTTATGAATGTTCGTGTAGCTATAGAAGGTCTTATGACTCATAATTTAATTGCGTCACATTTTTAAATAGGTACCTATCCACGTTATATTTGTTTACTCGATTAATTTTAGAGGTTCTGTAATAACTATTTGAAATATTTAAGAAAGAAAAATGAAATTAAACATTAATAAGAGCTATACTTATACGTATTCTTAAAATTAAAAAATACATGCGTCTCGATGCCACCGACCGTGCCCAGAACGATGACAGCATTACCACCACGATGTGTGACAATAACTACTAACCTCTGTTCTTTTTCCTATTGTTCTTGTCCCGGTATCCGAAAATACTCGGTCCAAAGGACAACGTCCACTCATTATGGTCATATTACTGTCTTTAAATAAATATGCACTCACGATTATTTTATCGGTCACAATACTTGTTTACTTTAATTTTTATTATACTTCTCCAATTCGTTGAATTTTAAGTTAGCAACACATGTTATTGTTATTTAGTTATACTTTTTCGAATTCCTTCTTAGTAAGTAGGTAACTGAAAACCTCGTTAGCCGATTCCCGGGTCGGGCAAAGTACTATTGAGTTTTAAAAAAATCTCAGTGATAGCACGGAGTTTAGAATTGTGCCTGGTACATGGCAATAGGCTCACCCCCTATTACACGGGACTCATAACATTAACAGTGAAACGTGGGTGTTATATTGTACAGTAGCATTCAATCTTGTTATTGTCCTAATTTCATTTATATTAGGTAAGGTTTATATATTTTGTACGATGAACAATTCTTCAATTTGTTGTACTTATGTTGTTACGAGTGGCTGAATTATATATATGTAAGTCAGCTGATTAAACAGATAAAGCTGCATATGTTGGTGCGGGGGACCTGAATTGAGAATGATCATAAATGGTCAACTAGCTTCAACTTGGCCCACTTTGCTCAATCGAAGAGGTCACGCGACGCTTACACAATATCGCCTATCATATATGTATTTTAAAAATATATATTTAAACTGGCTATTCCATGCAGTTTCACTTGCCACGCGGCTCCTATTTATCGTAGCGTGTTTTATATAGTTACTAGCTTCTGCCCGCGACTTCGTACGCGTAATCCCGATTTTTTAAGGTGGCTTAAAAAATCGGGATTACGCGTACGATATTTTATTGAATTTTTGTTTATACGTTCAAGTGGTGGCACTTGAACGTATAAACAAAAATTCAATAAAATCAGTTCAGCCGTTTAGGATAAATTACCTAGACTTCGACTGCAGCGTCATCTGTCGGGCTAATTTGTGAATCTAAACCATCCAGGGCGCCACTCAAACGCATACAGAAAAATTCATTTAAATCGGTCCAGCCGTTTAGGAGGAGTTCAATGACATACACACGCACGGCAGAATTATATATATAAAGAAGAAGATGTTATGCTATAGGCTATAGGCTTTTCTAGATAAGTATTGTTTTTTTATAGGTATATATGTTTGGTTAAATCAAGTTTCAATATTTAGCTTATGAACACAGCCATCTCACTATCAATCATCATCATCAGTTGAAGGACGACCAACGACCACTCCTGAATAAAGATCTCCCTTTTAAGAACTAGAGCGTGCAGGTGAAGGTTCGAATATAACGGGTGAATTCTACTAATATTATAAATGCAAAAGTTTGTGAGCATGTATGTATGCTTGTGTATGTGTGTGTGTTTGTTACACTTTCACGTCAAAACGGGTGAAGAGATCAAGATGTGAAATAGGGTTTCATTATTATCTGAAATAACACATAACACATTGTGATGCGATTGTGCAATGAACTCCCCTGCCGTGGTTTTACCAGTAGGTAGATTCTTCAAAATGGGAGTAAATAGATTTATCAAGGACAGGGCGCATGTTATGCCCGAAGTATTGTAAGAGTCTACATCGGCCACGGTATCTGCTTACCATCAGGTGAGCCGTGTTTTTTTTTGCCACCGTCGATATTAATTTAAATAAACATATGGCACTGATGGCACTATTTATTTCATGGGCACACGGGCGAACACCCTGGCTGAATCTAGTCTACCATAATTAAGTACATTGGTAGATGTAAAGAGCATCAAATCTGAAATGACATGTTTCAGAATTTAGTGTACCTTAATAAAGATTAAAGATTAGAGGCATAAAAATAATATTGTTTTTTTATACCCCGACGATGGCAAAAAAGCACACGGCCCACCTGATGGTAAGTGGTTACCGTGGCCTATGTACGCCTGCAACACTTGGGACATGTGTCTTGCCGACCCTTAAGAAACCTATCCACTCCCTTCTAAGAACCCCATGTTGTAGCCCACTGGGAAAACCACGGTTTTTTGTTTTTTGCGGTATTATTATTCTTTATAATATTCTAAGTACCTGGTGCACCTAGCCTTCTTTTAGGTATATGGCACTAGGCTCACCACTTATTATAGAACTCATTACTGGTAATGACCAATAATCAGTTCCCTGAAATGTCAGGGAACAAAAGGCTATTAAGTTAACTTGATAGAGTCAAAGTCAAGATCATTTATTTCAATCAGAGCAGGAAGCCACTTATGACTGTCAAATGAAAATAAAAATGTCAGTCCTCTAGTGAAGCTATTAAAGAAATTACTTAGCTATTCAAAAAAGTCTAGACTTACGTAAAAGAAAAATAAAACAGCAATTATGTTAAGAAATATATATGTATATTACATAATAATTGTATGTAACTGGAACTGTCTTCTGCACTTATACTGTACGAATTTACTGCTAAATTATAATATTAACATCTTAATGTTGATTGAAAACTTATTTACTATCATCACTTGCTCCCTCCATTCCGGGGTTGAACTGGAAAAAAAACATATATATATATATATATAAATACAGTATTGCTAGGCTATTTTGTTAGAAATCAATTCGGACTCCCGAAGTGAGCTCGATCGCATAATCGCCCGTCATTGGTTGAGATTGATCTCGCAACCAATGACATGGCGGACCACGATCGAGCTCACTTCGAGAATTCGAATGGACATCTCATTGTACACTATTTTTGTTAATATTATCCTATAATGCGATTGTGTGGTGTACAATAAAGCATATACAATAACAATAATTATAATAACATCTTACAGAATAGCTTATCTGAACTCGCAGTGATGGTGTGACATTGTACTGATTAATTTTGTTATCTCGGTACTAGGGAAACGCGTAAAAGGGAGACAAACTGACAATCACATTTTTCGCATTTATACCTAATATTAGATAGTAAGGCAGTACTCACTAAAATCAACAGGGTCGACGATGTGCACTGTAAAATAACAAACGACATTATTAGTAAAGTTACAGATCAAATTAGTATAGAAGTATAATAACTGATGATAAGATAATAATAACTGAAGAATTAATGAGTTTTTGTATTAACTCTCTAGAGGTACTGCCTCGTTGGCAGAGTGGTCGCAAGTGCGACTGTTGAGCAAGGGGTCTCGGGTTCGATTCCCGGGTCAGGCAAAGTATTACTGGGTTCAAATTCTCAGTAGTAGCACGGAATCTGAGATTGTGACCGGTATATAGCAATAGGCGCACCCCTATTACATGGGACTTAATAACAAGCGGGTGTTACATTGTACACTGGCATTAAATGGCGTAATGTGCACTTCAGCCTACCCATTCGGGTATAAAAGGCGTGATGTTATGTTATATTATGTATCTACATAACATCACGCCTTTGACCACCAAGACTACTTATCTAGTCTTGGTGGTCAAATGCCACTGATCAATATTAAGCTTCGGATTCATGGCTCGGGTGAATAAAAGAATACTTGGGACATTTCATATTCTAGTTCTGAAATTATGGTAGGTTTTAATGGGATTACGATTTACTTAGTAAGATTATTATATTATGAAAAAAAACGTAAAAATTACCTTGTTGTGGGTCGCTGTCAACGAAGTCAACTGAAAATATAAAAAAAATATTTACTTAACATTAAATACCAAAATCTAGATAATTATGTACACATATGTTTACTCGATTTACACAACGATAATATTAATAAAGACCACAGAAATTTATTATATCTACCTATGATAAATTTAATTTAAAATAAAATAATAGAACTATATATAAGTAAGTACCTTGGCGGTCTCCATCGACGATATCCACTGCAAAATAAGAAAAAAAGGTTTAATACTGTAAATACATATTATGTTTAAGAATTATATTTTTTGCTTTTTAGTTTTTACTTATTGTTTGTTGGTTTTTTAAACGCAATTTTTATTTTTTTTAAATAACGTAGGTACTGAGTATATTTGTTTTTTTACCTACACACTTTTTATTATTTTATTATTTTACTACTTATAGGTTAAAGCAGAGTCCTCATCTACCAGTAGCTACTACTGCATAAATGCCTTCACTTTAGTCCACTACACTGATAGACAATCCACCAATTGCTATAAGAGAACATGTAGGTACCAATAATCTACACTGTTTTTTTAAAACTGGTCCATAATTATGCGAGGAATCTTTATTATTTACCTTTGCTTCCGTCATCTGAAACAAAAGAAATATTGATAAGTATACAAATGAAGATAAAGTATATTTAAAGTCTGAATTCTGAGATTTAAGGGCTGTAGTCTGTTGTTTACTAAAAATATTTGCTGACTGAGTGGAATTTTTATCATAAAAACTAAAAAACAGGATTTGAATATTATATTATAGTCAAAAAGGCAGATAGCTAAATATTGTATTATATCGTAATAGATGCACGACAAAGAATATAAATATCTTTACAAAAGGTATGTGAAAATTTTTCCCTAATGCTGCTTTTTAGTATATAGGAAAATCTAGAAATAATGGAAATTACTGATTAATGGAAATATAATGATCATAATATAACAGCACAGACTATAACGCTAACTAATGATATAACAGTATATACATAGGTACTATTGATAGATAAATATAAATACAAAGAAACCGGTTTCTTGTAATTCCTACAATCGTTTGTTGCAATATAACGTCATGATGTTTTTTATGGAATAAGAGTGGAATAAACAAACGCACAGATCACCTCATGGTGCACAATCGGTGCCTTCTATGTACACTTGCGATACCAGTGCTATAACAAGTTCGTTACCATTGCCTTAAGTTATTAGGAATATTCTGTTAGCAGCTTCTCGGGTCAGAAGCTGCTAACTGTGATAAAAATTAGAAATCTATTTTTGTACCGTTTAAAGCAATCAATATATACTTATTATTTCATCATCATCATCATTTTTTATCCCCGAAATGGGTAGGCAGAAGTACACATTATACCACGTTACAATGTAACACCCACTTTTCACTATTTATGTTATGAGTCCCATGTAATAAGGGGTGAGTATTGCCATATACCAGGTACATTTCCAGACTCCGTGCTACTACTCAGATTTTTAAAAAGCCAGTAATACTTTGACAGTAGATATTTAAGTATTTAAGTATTTATATCCTTAGGAAAATGTTGTGTACTTTACATGAGCGTCATCAATGTAAATGTAAAAAAAAATGGTAAGAAGACACACATTGTGTAAAAAGTTAATAGTTTCTAAGATTTTAATCTTGATTTTAAAGTACTTAAGTATATTTGTCGGTAAGAAATTTATATTTCTAGTCACGTATCCATTATCTACTTAATGTTTATTCTTTGGTGATTGCGTGTACAATATCTACCTAAACATGTCTGTTTAAAATTTAATAAGTACGTAAAACAGAATTTGAATCTTTTGTCGGTAACATCTAGTTGTATATTTATCTAGATTCGTAAAGAGATTTATAAGACGTTTTTTTATAAAGATTATGTTAAAATTTGTGAATTCGTGTTTGGAATACAAAATGAAATTTATCTTACCTTGGGGTCTCGCCAAGGTCATGGTGACCAGGGCAATCAGCAGGAGAACAATCTGGGAACAAACCATGAAACTATCATGAGTGCAGTTCAGCCATTAGGTAGGAATAGATGACACATTCTCGTTTAAAAAAATCTTTGAACAATAACTAAGTATTTAAAATGCTGCAGAAAACAACATTCATCAGAATTACTTTTAATGCAGGTATAAATTCAGTCTCCAGAATAAAGCGAAAACATGAGAACAATTCTATATTAAAGTAATCATCAAAAGTTTACATAACATTTAGCACAAAGAAGGTCATAAGAACAGCACTTTTTTATTTATATTTTAATCATACATATTAGTAAGTATTATAAATTATTATGTTTTTCTTTAAGACGGTTAAAGTTAAAGAATTTAAATTCAATTATAGTTTTATTATTTTAATTTCATAAGAGTAGATAAATTAATAGATTTTTTCCTTATGATTTCACTTCTAATAAATAATTTAAACCACTATTGAAATACGCACCGTGAACTTGCTCATGTTTATTTTTCTCTTAACTCTTGACTTTGTAAGACAAAACTGCCTACCAGAATATATTTAAGACCTTTTTATATGCGGACAATACAAATATTGATGTTTATTAAGAACACCTACCGATAACCCTTGACCAGACGCTCTTGGAAACCAAAAATATCTAAAAACAATAGATAGTGATTTCCTAAAAAATTGGTTACTTTGCTGGTCAATAAACTGACACAAGAAGGTTTAACAAAATATAGTATGTATATACAACCTATGCACAAACTGCAAGACTGTTTTAGTTATTTTTTTTTATTTCTAGTGGCATTCCTTATTTTGGATTTGACTGTGAATTAGGATGATGATGGAGTATGAAAATAAGAATGTAATTAGTCCGTAAGTTAGGTAATGAAAAAATATTAGACATGTATTTTTTTATTTTGTCGTAGTCTTTTCTATAATAAAATAATACTTAGATAAAACGAATCAAAGTTTAGGAGGAGGTATTCCTCGTAGCGCTCCCATTTAGAAGCGCGCTCATCTAAGTGCTCCCGTTTTATTCCTCGAAGTGCTTTTCATAAGAAAGCTGTCTAGGAATAGAGATTTCTATGGCTAGTATGGCTTTCTTTGGAACGAGATATCTACGAACAATATTTTCTACCAATGAAGTTTTCGGCGAAACGTGCTTTCTGAGAATAGAAATTTCTATAAGCCATGCTTTCTGCATCCAATAGTGTCGTACAAACGTGATTCTATATTACGTTCCACACTCATAATACACTTTCAATTATATTCTTATCAACCATGAACCCAACGACCTGTCAGTACACTATAAATTGGTCAATGATCGTAGGTTGTTGCTTGCTAAACAATTTAAAAGTCCACGTGATTTCCGTATTCGATTAGTAGAACTAACGTTAGATCAATATATAAAGTTATACTATTTACAACAAATAATTAACTTTGGTAATATGGTAATAACATCCTTACAAGTTCTAAGTCCCCCCTCTTTTATTGCCAAAAAGCTAGACTCCTTTAAAATATCATTAAAACAATAAACATTTGACAGCAATGTGGTATCATCTATAGTACCTATATATTGTAGTGAGTATCTACCATGTCATCGGTTTTAATCAAGCAATGAACATGAATGAAATTTGCTCGAACCTGGTTACAATTCAGAGCTCACACTGTTAAAAACTATGGGAAAGATCAGAAATAGAAATATTTTGTGCCAACAATTGCTCTCATAACAATTTATTATTGTAGAATGTTTTTAGAGCATTTGTGAAATAATATTATAAAGCAGTGACTAGTTTTTTTTGGACCTTAATTAATCAACCATCACTTGTAAGTATTGACAGCCTCGTTGGCCGAGTGGTGGCAAGTTCGACTGGCGGGTCTCGGGTTCGATTAACGGGTGGCTTGTCGGGTTTTTTTGTTAATTCTTAGTCATTGCACGGAGTCTGGAGTTGTGCCCGATATATGCCAAAAAGCTCACTCCCTATTACATAGGACTTATAACATACATACATACATACATACATAACTTCACGCCTGTCTCCCATGGGGGTAGGCAGAGACTAAGGAACGCCAATTACTACGATTCTTACATACCTCTTTCGCTTCATTAACAGTCATCAATCTTTTCATGCATGCTTGTCGGTTAAGGGTACTTTTAATTTGGCCCTTCTTTAATATATCGCCAATCCGGTCACTATATGTCCGTCTAGGGCGCCCTCTACCGTCGGCCCCATTCATATCCGCTCTGCTGTATACTTCTTTCGTTACTCTACTTTCATCCATCCTTTCTACATGTCCAAACCAGTAAAAACCAGACTTATAACATAAATAGTGAAAAGTTTGTGCTACATTTTACACACGGCTACACATCGAGCTTTACATAACCAGTATAAACTGAACGTTAAATGTGCGGAAAGATGATGCGACGCGACACCAGGTTAAACTGGTTTGTATAGATTGATGTGTGGCCGTCTGTACAGTGGCATTAAATGTCGTATTGTGCACCTCTGCCTTACCCTTCGGGGATAAAAAGTGTGACAATTATGTTATGTGAATTATAAATATAATTTATAAATATTTACCAACGTATTACCGACTTTGATAAAATATTTAGCATTACATTAACCTTTGATACTGAACGATACATCGGACTTTATCTCGCGATCCCGTACGTTAACTAAGAACTAATTGTGTGTAGGTAGACTTGAACACACCAGCAAATCTTATAGTGGAAAATTAACTTTCGACTTTATCACACAATAATTGAGTTAGAAATCAATTGAAGCAGTTTGATCATTTGGGATAGCTTGTTCTGCAGGCGCCCACATAATCTCAGGTCAAATAATATCACAATGATTCTTTGTAATAGATGGCTGTAAATAAAAATATACAGATAAAATTAAATTTATATTTCTAAATGATAATAAAATTGTTGTTGGTCTGATTCTAATTTTATAATTATCCTCTTTCAAAGAAGTTCCGTCTATTATTTTATCGTCGCTTTACACAGAAATATCAAATATATATATAAGGTATATGAAATATTCAGTTCGATAACCGTTAGAGAGAGAGAGAGAGAGAGAGGGGAAGAGAGAGAGAGAGAGAGACTTATAGTATAATAGGAGTCGTAAAAATGGTAAATAATTACAGGAATGAGTATACAGTCATAACGGTTGCTATGCCTTTCAGATGGCAGCTAAAGGTTTTTGCACTTTTATGGGATAGGAAGCACCTCCAGTTAGGTGGAGTGACGAAATCCGCAAAACGGCTGGCAGTGGTTGGATGAAAAGAGCCCAGTCTTCAGCTTTCATGGCACGCCATTGGAGAGGCATATGTCCAGCACTAGATGAGCAAGGGCTGGTGATGTTGATGATGGGATAGGAGGCGAACAAGCAGACGGAATGGATGATAAGCGATCAACGCCATCTGTGGACATCCACAACAAAGAATTGAATGGTATATTATTGCCTATCTATACTTCTATACTAATATTATAGAGGTAAAGAGGCAAGATTTGTACCTCTTTTTGTATGTTTGTAATGAATAGGCTCAAAAAGTACTGGGCCGATTTGAAAAGTTCTTTCACCAATAGAATGCTACATTCTTCCAATTACTCATAGGCTACATTTCATTTTGAAAAATAAAATAGGGATCCTTGGTAAGATTTGAACAATGTAACCGAAGGTGTAGAAAAATAAGTCTTTAAATGTCTTTCGTCGAATGCGCTGCCGAAACTATTAGCGATAGAACAAAATAATGTACAACAATATTGAAGAACATCATAATGTCTACAAAAAACTCCGCAGTAACATATGTCCAACTGTTTAGTCACTATAACAATCCAAATTTCCAAATAAATATTTGTCTACCCCGTGCGAAGCCGGGACGGGCTGCTAGTGTTATATATATGTATGTATGTTATTTTACGTTTAGTTATGTTCTAAGGTTGATTGATTGATTGATTGATAACATCACGCCTTTTATCCCCGAAGGGGTAAGCAGAGGTGCACATTATGCCACTGTACAATGTAACACCCACTTTTCACTATTAGTTGTGAGTCCCATGTAATAGGGAGTGAGCCTATTGCGAATTAAAAACGAGGTAGTGTTCTGAGGTATGAAATCTAGAGGTAATAATAGGTGCCTATAATCTCGACTGTCTCTTTGTTTTAGTAATCACAAGAGCATCTGTCAAGGGAGGAGTGATCAAAATCCAGGTTGAGATGTCTTAAATAATATTTATCAGGTTTTCTCAGAAAAGTTCTTAGAAATAGCACAGAGGCAGAAATCATGGAGCTAAGTTTATAAGACGTTACAAAGTACAAAAAAACGCCCCAATATTTTAGATCTAGAAATAAAAATGATTGTGATTGTTACATTTATTAGGTATATTAGGAGTTATTGTGTTGATTCAAGGTGTTCAATTTCCAAGGAAAAGGCGGGACGCGTGAAGGAATTTTCATCACGCCCCAGCTGTCGCGGGAGACTCCGGGCGTCGGAGATCGCCCGACGATCTCCGGCCACCGTAAGTGCGGGTCTGCGGACTTCGAGCAAGGGTAGCTCGCCGTACTGCACGCGCCTCAAAGAGCCATCAGAACACCACAGATGGGGCCCAGTAGGGCTGATGTTTGATACGGAATCGCGGAAGACCTAATGGGTTGCCGGGGCTCCGGCTCGAAAAGTAGGAGTAGGAACGGGGTGGTTTTTAGTCAGTAAAAGTCTGAAATTCCCTCTCGCCTAACCCAAGGTGGGAGACGTCATTGGATGATTTCCCCCTCTCAAAAAAAAGGTGGTTCAATTTCGACACACTTTGCCGATTACGTATTAAGTTAAGTTACCTACAGCTAAAATGTAGGCTAATTTAAAGTGCAAATATCGCACTTTGCGTGGCTAATATGTGAGATCGTATTACCTCAGAGTTTGTTATGCCAACAATACTGCATCAACCTTAGCGCATCAGAAGGCCAAGTTATAGCCAAATGCGCTGTTTACTATATCCTGTGTTAACTAATGATCTATGCTTATATGTACTAGCAATGACAAGATTTGCAAAATACTAGGTATGACAAGATTTACAAAATACTAGATACCTTCTACGGTTTCACCTGCCGAATGATTATTTTCTTGAAGCTCCCGTTATTTCCTTTTTATATATTTTTTATGGTATGAGCCGGTACACAAGCCCTTAAATCACCTGATGGTAAGCAATAGCCGCTGCCCATGGACAACCGTTACACGAGAGGCGTTACAAGTGCGTTAGGTCTTTTGAGGATTAGGAATTGGGAAATTGTTGGGGATTGGGGATGTTCCTATAGCCTTCGGTAACTTCACTGATTGTCTACGTGTTTTTTTTCAAAGTAAATAACATCTACCTAACACATTTACGAATAACGTACGTTTTATGAGATGAAAAGTAACTAATGGTACAGCGCTTGTTGATGAACCTTTTATAGAGCGATTTTACATTTGTTTGTTAGCATGAAGAGAGTGGCAAAGCCTTCTATGTAGAGGAGGTCCATTCAGAAGTAGACATCAAGAGTTATAATATTGATGTCGGTAGATGCTGCATACATGCATTTCATTTCAAAACTAACTCCTGGCCTCTGTTCATCTTGTCTACCAATGACACGCCATTTTAAAAAGTCGGCTTAGGATATATTAACTCGTCGAGTACTGTCATTATAGACACAATTATAGAACAATAGGTTGCGGTCACCGGGGACCGCTTGGTGTTTGACAGTTTAAAATGAAGACAGAAGACTTACATACATATAGCAAGATAGTTACATAATAACAGTAACATACCAGGCAGGTTTCAATCTTGACTTATTTGTAATTAGGTACACCATATAATTCACCACAAATTATTTGCAATTTGTGCTTATTGCTATGCTACCTATTTCCAAGCCATCAAAAATAGATTTCTGGAAACTTGAACTACATCTAATGACATGATAATTGGTATATTAATAAATTATATTCCTAGTCAAATCGATTGTTGATGGTTACCGACACGGATGCCAGTTGTTAGACCACATCATTATCACGTTTATGAGAATGGTGCACGGCGACAATATTCTTAAATGGAAGTTTACACGTTTCATTGTCGTTGTTGCGTTTACATTCGACCGCGTCAGCGACTTTGATACTCTTGACTATTTTGTTTACTCATACTTGTTAGGACTTCTTTGGTAAAATCCTGATATATATAGACTGTCTTGTAGTAAATTGGCACATTCATCTCAAGTGCTAGGAAGGGATATCTGAAAATGTAAGTGTTTTGTACTATTTTTCTATTTTATAAAGTGTTCTATTATTTCCTGTTTGTTATTTGATGGTGAACATGGTGCAGTGTATTTAAATTGAGTTTCCTCTTTATTTTTGTTTTTTTGTTGTTCAAATGTGACTATCGAGAGCGGGGTTTAGATTTCTTTTTATGTTATGGTGCGATAACAAATATTTTTTGATTGTTGTCGGAACATTGACGAATTGTAAAACCATGACTGGATATATATTTTTTAATTTATAGGGCCAACGTTTGGCCACTATGTCGAATGGTAGTAAGCGATGATGCGGCCTACGATGAAGTATGTCTGCTCATAAGCAACCTATTCACTTGGGCTTTGAATTATATAAAACAATATAATCACAACATCTTTACCGTTTCCAGCTAAACATGAAGAGCATCCTAGTTCTGTGCTTGTTGGTCGCGGCTGTCTCCTGCAGACCAGAGAGTTACGACACTAGATATGACAACTTTGATGTTGAAGCCTTGGTCGGCAACGTTCGACTGCTGACTGCGTACGGTCACTGCTTCCTTGGCAATGGACCTTGCACTCCAGAGGGAAGTGCTTTTAAAAGTAAGTTGACACTTCTATTATTTTTGCAGGTAGTAGGTTTTATTTTCAATGTTTGTTAAATTGAGAGTAGTCAGTGGATTCTGGTTAATTCGTTTGAATATCCGAGTGTGTTATGAATAACATATAATCAACGATGAAAGTAAAAAGCATTCGTGTGAACGCAGAGTTTAATCTCTCATCGTTATTTAAATCAGTCGTCTCCCTATCTCCGTCTCGTTTACCTCCAAATCTATAAATATGAATATTGCATCCTAATCAACCATCCATGACTGACCAGTACTTGGCTTTTTCTACATCATAAAATTGCCGTAAATCTTCTGTTTGCAACCCTAATAAATATTTCTTTCAACATTTTACATCTTTATAACCTCTCGCCTGTCTTCCATGGGGGTAGAACGCCAAAAACATTTTGTCCTAAAGAAATTTACTAGACTACTAGAATTTACATTTAACGTTCTTTGCAGAAACCATCCCCGACGCTCTTAGGACCGGCTGTGGCAAATGTTCACCGAAACAGCGTCACTTGATCCGTGTCGTTGTACAAGGCTTCCAAAATAAGACCCCAGCCCTTTGGCAGGACCTGGTGAAGAAGCAGGACCCCAACGGACAGTACAAAGAAATCTTCACCAGGTTCTTGAACGGCAGAGACTAAAATACCAAAGATTTGAAAAGCAAGGAGGTTCTACCAAAAACGATACTCACAAACGCTAAAACCAAAACAACTTACTATAACGTTATTAAAACTTATTTGTAGTGATTTGGCTTAGATAAGCTCTGTGTGAGTATCACCTAAGTTTTGATTAAGTACATGAAAATAGATCTAAGTTTAAAAAAATAGACGACAGTTCTTGTTTAATGCTTTTTAGTAGACTATCGTTACTATAAAAATGTATGTTGTTATTTAAAGATTTATCCTTTAACCTCAGATAAATATTGTTCATTTGGCGTTGCGTGTGTGACAAATTAACAACTCTGTGCTTGCTTATGTTCGATTCGATATTTTCCTACACATACGTTATGTATTCACAATCTACCTTTCAAAGACATGGCTTAACATCATTGTATCGTGTACTGGTGCCTCCTTTACGTTAAACATCACATTAATTGTTAACTAATATTTAATTTATATTTATCTATAAGTACTGTATTTATTTTTTAAATAAATCAATAACCTTAACGTGTTCTTTTTATAACAACCATGTTCTTAAGTCGTGGTATTATTAGGGTAGAATATCCTTGTTTGTTTGTTGTAAACATTGTACAGTGGCATAATGTACGCCTCTGCCTACACCTTAGAGTATAAAACGCGTGATGTTATGTAATGTAGAATATCTTTGTCACATCTTTAATCTGACTGTCTCATTGACCGAGTAGTCGCAAGTGCGACTGCCGAGCCTGGATTCGTTTCTCGGGTCGGGCAAAGTATTACAGGGTTTTCTTTTTTTTTTAAATCGCAGTAGTTGCACGGAGTCTGGAAATGTGCCCGGTATATGGCAATAGACTCACCCCCTATTAGGTACATGGGACTCATAACATAATTAGTGAAAAGTGGGTCACATTATACAGTGGCATTAAGTGCCGTAAATAAAAAGCGTGATGTTACGTTATGTCATCTTTTATCTTCCCGGGGGCAACAATCTCTGATTAACCAAAACTTTTGAAACTGAGATCTCCAAACAGTGCACTAAGTCAAACGTGGAGATTATTATGGCAAATTCTTTTTGTAGGGGAAGCCCATAATATCATGAATATCCCACGACTTGTTATACTCTTTCTAATGTGTTTTACTCAGTACTAAATATATGAAATAAGCGCCTATTCCCAGCAACATTGCATTTAGTATTTGAATTCATTGCTTTAGTTTGCATGTTAGGTTCTTAGCGCTCGGTATTTTTTTTAAGGAGAAAAATCATCGAATGACTGTTCCCGTAGGTAAGGCGGGAGGGAGTGTCAGATTCTTACTGACTAAAAACCACCCCGTTCCTTCTCCAGCACGTCGAGCCTGAGCCCCGGTTACCCATTAGGTTCTCCAACCTTATTATTATTAATAAAATAAATGAAAACACATAGTTCACTAGGTACCTAATTACTATGAGTAGTCTGATGGTATAGTTCCACTAAACGGAACAAATTTTAAGGGAGGGAAATCATTCAATGACTTCTCCCTCCCGCCTTGGCTAGAAGGAAGGCCACTCTTACTTACTAAAAACCACCCGTTCCTACTCCTAACCCATTTGCAGGTGGTCCAGGTTCGGAACAACCTGCAAATTTCTTTCATAATACTGCTCTGGTAAAATATAGAATACTTAGTAAGAATGAAACTCACAGATACACCGCACATTGCTCAATATATTTTTCAAGGCGTCATAATAAAATATCTATGAATAAATAATAAATAATTTTAGCAGTTTGTATCAGCCAACTCGGCACCGAAATCTGTTAGGTACCTATATTTTTTATATGTATGTCGCAGCGTCAATAATATAAGCGCCGTGTGGATGGCGCTTGTAAACTCTACGTCGCAGCGTCAGTAATTCAAGTGCCATCTATCGCCTTACATGCTAACTAATTGTTTGGTGTTGGAAGCGTCAAGCGGTATGCTTGGGTGTAGTCGATGCATCGTGGTGACGGGACGGATGGGCGGCTGTCAGTGTCATCGGACAGCTGTCATGTGATTGGAATGGTCCAGTCACTTTTGGAACAGAACGTGACCGCAGACGGTTGATTTTAAGAATAACCAAAGTGAAGTCACCACGTTGCTTCGAATTCACCGCGTTTCCAATTCAAATCATACTACATCGATTCGATCGTGTAATCATATTGTAATCTGTGCTGTGTAGTGATTAAACCAGACGTCATACTACCCTTTGAGACTATTATTCAAGTTTCTCATCATGTCTGACCATTCTGATAGCGAGGGCCTCGAATTACCTTTGTTATGTATATATTTATAGTGTCTTGTTTACGATAGACAAATATGTAGTGTGACTGGTAGACAACCTTGCACTAATAATAAAATTAAATGTTTGAATTCCAATAACTAGACTATCAATCGTTAGACCGTTTTGGTTTTAGTCTGCATCAATCCAGTTCGGGACGCGTCCTCTTCAATGTAAGTACTCTTTTATTTTATTTTCTTTTTTTTATTCGTTTGTTTTCCTGTCTATCCTATTTTACTGAATCGATTATAAGTAGCTGATCACTAAATTTATAAGACAGTTTAAAAACTTCGAACTTTCTTTCGGAGTGGGTATTTAGATGCTAGAATTGGCTGTAGAAATTGCCACTTTCTGAAAGCGGGATCATAAAAGCTTAATTATCCTATCCTAAAATTAACGAGATATTTCTGTATTCAATTTACTATGGGGATTTATTGATCGTCATTTATTATTTTAAAAGACCTGACCATGTTCTATGCTTAAAAATAATGATATCTATTGCCTATAATAAAATATATGTGCTGCAGTTACTTACATATATGTGAGTGATCATAGTATTTTTGCGTTTGAGCTAATAACGTTATATTAATTTTAGTACCATTTAGTTGGTAAAAGATTTCATTGACTTTTAGCTAAACATGTTAACTTACTAGCTTGTGTCAGCAGTTTCGCTCGGGTTCACATGGGATAAAGTGGCCCATATGTTATTCTAATCCATAGTCTAAGTACCTCTGTTCTCTCTAATCTGATCTTCAGCCATTTTGACGTAACACAATAGAGTAAACGAAAGAGTAATACTCATATAAATCCTCACAAACTTTCACATTTTTAATGTTAGTAGGATAGGCTTCTAGGGTAGTCCATCCCTTGTACCTTCGGAGCCGCGGAAGACTTAACGGGTTGCCGGGGCTCTGGCTCGAAGTGCAGGAGTAGGAACGGGGTGGTTTTTAGTCATTGGATGATCTTCCTCCTCAAAAAAAAATCCCTTGAACCTTGAGCCTTGCATGTATTAGAGACTGCGTTTCTGTACATATACTTGAGTTATAAATAACACTTATAGTAGGTGACTTAATAACACCCACTATATAACTTAACAGTAGATATTTTGTACACAACAACTGACCTTGATTTTAAATGCACACCTGGTTTTATTTAAATACCTAATTAATTCTGATCTCATCTGATATTCGATTTCACCATCTGGCTGCACTTTACTAAAATTAATTAATTATTTATATTTATGTGTCATTTATATTGATTTTGGTTTGTAGACGATGAATTAACATGTTTTTACGATAAGCAACTAACGTATTTTCGAACGCCTACTACAAATATCTTAGCACGCTAACAAATTTTACTTATACAATGAATGTATTAACGCAATATTCAGGCGAGTCTGATTTTAACTACTATAGCAACTAAAAAACCTCCCCGATTTCGCCAATGCCCAATAATCTTTAGATCGGCTATGTACTTTTAACGCCTCTGATGTTTTGGGCGACGCCGATTGCTCACCGTCAAGTGATCTCCGAGTATTTGTGTGGGTACAAAAACATATAACTTCAGAATTTTGAACATAATAATATCGATTTCTCTCATTCGAACTTACAATCCACTTCTGAACAACTAACTGTATAATTGAATAACATCTCTGATTTATCCATTATTTTCAGAGAAGCAAAATGAAGTACATATTAGTGGCTCTCGTTGTAACCATAGCTGTGGTGGACGCTCAAGAAACGTATGGGACCGAATATGATAATGTAAATGGAGAAGCTATCGTTTCTGATGACAAACAGTTCCAAGGTTTCGTTGACTGTTTCACGGGCGCTGCTCCTTGCAACGAGCCTGCTGCTGCTTTCAAAAGTAAGTCTAACTAAGTATTTAAGTAGAAAAATTAACGTGTAAAAGTGCTGCCTTGTAGCCTATTTGCAGAAATAAATTCACTTGTTTGACTTGTTCCACTTGAACTTTTAGACACTGAGGGATGATGAAAATGATGAAAAATTAACAATAGTCAAATCAAATGAAGTTATTATTTTGAAATCGCCATTCCGCCTTGAGCAAGCGTGGTAAATATTACTTATACCACCTTCTTCGTGTAACAGGAGGTTTTTCAGCGGTGGGCACTTATAGGCTGATGATGATGATGATGAAGACGATGACATACAACAAGAGTTTTGTACAGTGAAATTGTACTAGTAGCTTGATCATTTATAATAGGGTTATTGGCTGAATTTTATTTTATTGTCCGTCTGGTAGATTAATTTAAAACATTAGACACGTATGTTTTCTTTTCTCGCAAAATTTAATACTTTCGACGATAGGTATAATAATCTGAAATATCGTGTGACGTCACTATGTGCTTCATTTTGTAGCACTTTGTGACAACCACTCCTAAACTTAACTCCATTTTATCTATGTAACTATTGTAACTTTATAGGAGAAAATTAAAAATAGGTGTCTAATATTTTTGCATTATCTAACTAACGGACTAATTCGATTTTTCATTTTCATTCCCTGGCAACTACCATAGGGTATAGGGTACAGTCATAATAGTATGACTGTATAATTTAATAATAATAAATATTATTATACTTGTGTTTTAGATTAAAACCTCATTCATTTCTGGGGGACTACACCAATGTTGCGGTTTGATAAGAACTTTGAAAAGACTTTGATACGAACTTTCGAACTATTTACCTCTATAACTGCATGTGTTGAGTATGACAGCTCTCTGTAAGAGTGTGTATGTGAGGGGTGTAAATCTAGAGTCTTTAGACTTGTGTGTAGTGTTTTGGGGATGACTCCTGTGCTGAATTTTATAACGGGAACGCTCTTCACTGTGTAGACTTACCACTGAGTTTGAAACTCAATAGCCAAGTCTATATAACATAACA